ATATGTAAATCATATGATATCATATGATTTGTAATATAATTACTAGTAAAAATGATCTACATCACCCCTACCCTTAAAGACCAATCCTTATTTAGTCTTTCAAGAACTGATCGTTGCTACCTTTTTTATTATTATTTGTTCAGGCCAATCAGTCAAAATTTTATGGTTGGTTAGCAAAAGATGCGTAAAATACTTTAATTTTTATTACTATTAGCTAATTTTGAATCAAAGATTTAGAAAAATTTATATCAATTGAACTACATTGATTGGGTTATATTTATTGTATACTAATCTAACATTATATTAGCTTCCTTTTCAGGATCCCAATTTTCCTCATCAATGTTACTCTTGACATCATTAATTTGAACATTAATATTTTTCTCTTCAAAAGACTCGAAGTTAGTATCAAAAACTATTTCATCTAAGTCATTAGTAAAATCAGCTGCATCAAGATTTAACAATTCTTCAATTTTAAGCACTTCTTCTTCTAGAAACTCCACATTTTGTACTTCTTCACTAGTGAGTTGTTCTTCATTGTAATCATTATTATCACTAAGATTCATATTAGATAATGCTTCATATAAATCTTCAGCACTATTATTAATAGAAAAATATGGTAATTCTTTTTTTGAATTTGCAAAATAAAAAGCAGAAAGCTTCTGCATATTTTTAATTTTACTCAAGGAAAGCCATGTATGACGTTTGCCATAATACTACCTCAATGTTGATCAAATTCTTTCGCATCTAGCTGCATGTAGCATTACAGAGAATAGTTTATTAGCTAATAGGCAAATATGATCCTCACTTTTAAAAAATTGTCTTCAAGAGAAGTCCACTACATCATAGGAGATTCATTATTACCAAAAGGTATATCAAATAGTGTAGTACAGTATCGATAACTTCTTATTTGTGACATTAACATTTTTCTTTCTTTTTGATTTTTACCCATTTTTTCATAGAGGTTATCTGCTACAAGAAGAATACATCAAAATGTTCCTCGTACTCATACTATATCTAAATTAATAAAAATTTATCAATAAATAAAATAGATTAAATTATAAACAAAATAATAACTACTTACTAGTATACCCAGGATGTAAAAAAAAGCATAAAATATATGTATCATCATCAAATTCAGCGAATCTTCTATTATATATTGCAATTGCTTGTTGGTGAAAATTACGATAATTATTTTCTGGAAGTCTTCTAATTGTCACTCCTAAATGAACTAGACCGATAAAGCAATCAGCTAATAAACAATCTCATGATTTAAGAGTTGATATAGCTATTTTAATAGGATAAAGAACAAATATCAAGGCATTTAAATCATCAAACAATGCTCTCATACATAAGATTGCTTATACTGAGGTATTTACAATATCTGGATTATTATTACAAATCTATAAATTAATTAAAAAAAAATAATAAATTATTATGTACAACTTTATTATTCATGATCAATTAATAATCATGAACAGAATTTACAGTTATTATGTGCAAAAATTTATTATATTAAAGTCAATTTATAACAAATAACTTAACTATTTCTAATAGCACTTTATACCTTATAATGGAGAATACATAATCGTACATAGTATGCCAATGAGTATCTACCCATTGTTTAAGACTATCACCTTCGATTAAATTTTCTTCAGCTAAAGTTTTAAGTGTACTTCCTATATAATCATATTAATAAATAAATTTTTTTTTTAATTTTGATCCAGTGACCTTAAAATGCCAGTAGCATACTTTAAATAATATTTTAATTACCTGCAAAATGGCTTTTTTTAAAATAACTAACCAAAATTTTGCAATATTTAAGCATGTGATCTGCGAATGATGTTTTGCTAATATCTTTTGAAATAAGGTTAATAGCATGAGAAATACATCAGATGTTTAAAATATTTGGATGTTGTTCTGTAATAATACTACATGTAGCTCTAATATTAGCATGCGAGTCTGTTACAATAGCAGATAATTTTTCTGGACTAATTGTTTTTAAAATATTATTAATCTCTTCTGCCAAAAATTCTTGTGTATGTCTTTTATTTGACAGATTTTGAAGACTCCACAAATACTGACAGCGAGCCAGCGTATAAATTACGAAGTTCCAAATTGACTCATTAGAAGGATTACTCTAGCCATCACATGCTAAATAATAAAACAAGATAAAAAATTAGTAAAACCTGTAAGTGATCCTAATGCATAAGATCGATCAGTTTTATTAATTAGTATAACTAAAATAACAATTTACTAATAGTCAGATTTTTTGATTTATTCAATTGTTTAATAATTGCTTTGTTAACAAATGCTGTTTCTTGCACCAAATAGCAACCAGAAAGAATATTTTTAGATAGCAGTTTATAAGCTAGACGTAAAGTTTTTAATAACTCTACAAAAAATAAATTCTCAATAATATGAAAGAGGACTCCACAAATAATAAACACCTTTACTAATGCTTTATTTATATCTTTAATACGATCTGGTGTTAACTTAGTACTTTCAATGAAGTCAGAAAGTTGTAACTAAACATTAAGTTTTCATTTTTTTGATGTTGATGCATCAAGTTCTCTTGTTGCTAATTGATCTAAAAATAAGCTACAAATATCTGGTAGGGCTTTATTACATGAATTACCTAAATGATTTTCAAGGGCAGCAGGTGAGCCTTTGTACCAATACTCATTACAATAATTACATGTTGCGCTCTAATGACCTTTAGAAATTTGGTCTCTTTGCTTAATATACATTCTCTACACAATTGACTTTGGTTTACCACTAGATTTTTGTATAGACATATCAATTGGATTAATAGAGGAAGTATTAGAGTTTTCTGCCATATTGTGATTTTGAATGTCAAAAACACGTTTAACTAAATTTGTAGCCATCACTATTTAAAAATATTTAAGATATTTAAGATATTTAATCAATATTTAATCAGTTTATGATAAATTTAATCTCTTCGTGATAAACTTCTTAATACAGTACTGCAGTAACAAAAAGAAGTTATAATATATTGAAAGCAATACATAAAATATGCATATGTAATTAATAGGTTTTGATTCTTTTTTTCTTTTTAGAAAAAAAAAAAAAATTGTTGCCATTCACATGAAATTTTTTAAAATTTTTTTTGCTTGAACCTAAAATTTTTTTTTAGCATTCGTTAGTAGGTTTAATTCGTTTTGTTTGTTTTTAAAAAAAAAAATAATAAAAAAACAAAAATGCAACACACGTACATATTAACTTATTTCTTTCACATGGAAATCTTTAAACTTCTTTTTCTTGAAATTAAATCTGAAATCTTCTTAAAAATCTATTTTTCATATTATTAATTTCAGATTCTAGCTTTAGCAACAGTTAATTTATTTACAGTATTGTATTTGGGTTTTTCTGGTTTTCACAAATTATACCATGGGGTTATGGGGTTAAGCAATTCTGATTAGATCATGCATCTTTTGAAAAAGATAATAAAATCTGATCCTTTATACGTATATGGGGCCTTTTATTATTTGTATATCTGACTCAAAGTCTCTAAATTAATAGCATGTGATTAAATATATTTCAGATCTAAAGATTAATTTAAGGTTTGTTAAATATTACTTTGGCAGTTAAGGTTTGTTAAACTTGTTATTACTTGTTCTTTTCACTTATGCATTTCTATTTATACTAACATTTATATGATAGAAATTTTCCAAATTTGATTACTAATTGTATAGTGATTGATGATTATAGTATAAGCTAATTTAAATTTCTTGATAATAATCGAGCTTATCAAATAACAAAAATCGAATCGATCAATATTTTAAGTTTGCCAGCTCAAGTAATAATAACTAAATATAATACTTGAAATAAAAATTTCAAGTTTTCCGTAGGTTGAATTCTTGTATGATTTCATGTGTTGAAAGCTTCTATTGAAAAGATATGTTTATTATTACTTATTCTGAACTTCTGCTAACTAACAAGAATGTTTTTCTGTATAAACTGAATAAATTGAGCATATGAGTGCCACCAAGAGAAAACCCTCATCAGGCTTTCATATTTTGTGCTGGATACAGTCTATCGCTATCTAATTTATTAAAGATTGTGTCTGGTACTAAATATAATTAGAGACTATAATAGCAGGTGTTTCCTTGGTAGTACTCATGTATTCTCAATATACAGGTTTACTTCCAGTAATAAAATGGGCTTATATTAAATTTATTTTGTTCACGTAATGGCAAAAAAAAACAATAATGTAAGAGTAGGGTCCTAATACTTTTAAAAAAGATTTATTACTAAATATATACATAATATCGGATTGGGCCTAAACTATGGGCAATTATGGATTTTATTGTACATTTTTGGAAGTATCAGAAATTTTGAAAATTTGTATAATTGGTGAAATTAATATTGTCTCTATTTCGAATTCAGATTTGGCAAAATATTTAGGTTTCACCCAAAATATTAATTTCAGAGATATAGTAAGTTCCTAATTCTAACTTTTTAATATTCATAACCTTTTTCATTTCAGTTTTCCTTCTATCAGTAAGTTCAACAATAATAGATTTAATATTTGTAGTTATAACATTATTTTGTTTAGTAAACTTTGTATTAATAAAGTTTCAAGAAGCATTACTATTTAACAAAATTTTTAAGAGTAGCTATTAATTTTTCTTTTAAATGAAATTAGATGTTCCTTGTTTTCCTCAATATTTGTAAATTCAATTTTTTCAATTTTTGATGTAGAGGCTACAGATTCTTCTTCAATATCAGCAATCTTAGCTTTGCTCCACTTTTTATATTTTCTAGCATAGTGTTTTGTTATTCTATACTTGTAGCAGATTCTTTTTTTAAATTCTTTTTTTGAATTATTATTGAAGTTTTTTCTATAAGCTTCAGAAGAGTCAAATTCTATAGGATAGGACCTTTATTTTCTCTATTTATTCTATTAAGTAAAGAGAGTTTGAAGTATTTCCCATGACTTGTAGAAGGTTTTTCTATTTCAAATATAGCTGTGTTATATCTTATAGCATATTCAATAGCAGTTTCTAAGATATTAGAAGCTCTATATACAACTTTCATTCTAGTTGCAGATTTTAGTCTATTAGTATAGTATTTTACTTGGTCTAAAGTATCTATATTTGTAATTTGTTTTACAATATTTTGGAATTGTATTGTATAATCCCTTATAGTTCCAGTTTGTCTAAGCTTTTTAAGTTGTTAATAGAGGTATTGTTGATAATTAAAAGGTTAAAAAGCATTTTTAATTGTATCTGCAAACCTATTCTAATTATTAAATAGAGGTTAGTTGTTATTTGTAACAACTCTATTCAAATACCAATATAAAGTAGCATTTTTAGGGCCTGTAGTAGTATAGTAAACTTGGGTTAGTTTATCTGCAAGACCTTGAGCCAAGAAAATTATTTGTATTTATAATAACTAAACTACTATGTTTTCATATAGTTCTTCTTTAAATGTAAAAATTTTTATACCAATTTTTGTAGGTATAGAATTATTTCCTTATTGTTGTTACTCTTGAGGTTGTTATTGAGCTTGTAGTTAACCAAGTTGTTGTGTTAAAGCATTTTAGGCATTAACAAGTTGTCTAATAGTATTTACTAAATCTTGTATAGTTGTCATTTTGTTTAGAAAAATTATGAGAAAGAAACTAACAAAAATACAAATAAAACAAGTATATAGCAAAGTAAAAAGATAATAGTATATAGAAAATAAAATATGTATAGTATGGTAAAAAGCTTTCTGCTGCTACCAAGTTGTAAAGGTTTAGTTATAATAAAACATTATTATGTAGTTTTTGCTAATAAATATTTAATTTTTATTAAAGAAATTTTGTCAGGTTTAAATAATTTTTAAATATACATAATTTTAAGAATAAAAATATATTA